TGCCAAAATAAGATTGGGTGATGTCAAAACAAAATTCCCGTCGCGACAGGTAATATCAGACATAGGTGCGTTGAACCTTTAGCGTCAGTGTGGTATACAAATTATTATTATTAATGTCTGCCCTGCTCCTGTTGATGGGCTAGGCGCACGCGCGTTTCAGGATACAGTTCCGGAGACAGACTTCAATTTTATAAAATATTTCAAATCATTCTGATGTTTAGCAATTTCTTGGTTGTTAGTTCTGACTTTGGAACAGTATCAGTGAATTGAGTTTTACTTATTTCCATATCGAAATAATTAAAAATGTTATGCAGTTTGTAGTCTTGTTCTAGTACCACCAAATTTTCAGATTGTAGACTACAGAGCATAATTAACTAACCTTTTAAACCGTTTTTGAATGGTAGACGTACTTGGATACTACCGCTCTTCAGGAATTTACGCGTGAAGAGTAGTCGAGTCAATCACAAAAAAAAAAAAAGAAATGGTGCCATCAAATTAAATTATTGGGTCAGAATTGGTAAACATTTTTATCAGGATACCAAAAACAATAGTCACAATCAAACGACAGCTACCTGTACGACGTAAACGCTTTCTCATCTTGAACCATTCGAAGTCAAAGCATTTATTTCAATGAAACCATAATTTAGTATTTTTTAATGCCAACAATTACAAAATAGTGCTGTAGTGTATTGACTGGAGTCATTTTACTGTCGAGAAAAACCGTTTCTCACACCAAAATGACACATCAAATATTAAAAACCATCTTAATTATAATTAAAAATAAATAGCGAAAATTTACACCCTAGCTCCTAGCCTAACTGTCTGGCTGAGGGATGGAGCTTTACAATATTTCGATCAATACAGGTGGGGCTATCGCGGCTCGCAAATTGGATGCATCTCAATAACGAAGCTGAAAAGTTAATATTGATTTAGTATTTACTCCTTTGTGTTTGGGACCATAGAACAAAGAGATGTTGTGTTGTCTCGAGTTTGATGTATATATATACTTATTTATAATTAGTTAAAATTTAAAAAAATGATCTCTATTACTGCAGACTACAACTTGAAATCTGGGCTAGGTCGATTGAAGAAACTATTATTCGGTACCTTTTGTATTTTATTCGTTTAACTTTTTAGGACGAGTTCCAGATTTTAAACTTATTGTGGGACTGTTGTCAAGAAAGTAATATTACAAACATGATTACTGACCACGTGGTTTTGTGCTTGACACCTTTTCCGGCCAAAGTAATTACGTTTAACAATCTGAAATTCTCAGAAATTTGCGTTTGGGCTACCGTTGTTAACACTTCCTCATATAATCTTTAATCGATTAAAGATTCTGGGTCAAATAATTTTGTACATATTAGTACCGACCTCGATCTATTTGGGAAAAAGGTCAACAGAATATTTCTTCTTATAAGCTAAAGTCACGCCACCTAGCAAGACGAATATTTTGCAAGAATCATTTGACAGAAATTAACCACAGATTCTCAAGACAAAAAAACATTGAAGAGCTTCAAAGACGTTATTGGTACGAACAAAGGAAAACTGTATCTTGATAAACTGATTAACGTTATAGGCTATGTTATAAGTTTTCATTTAAAGTAAGGTATGTTCTTCCAAATTAGAATCTTTGCCCAATGACAGGAATGTCACAAAACAATGACACCGTCTTTTTTCTAATGTCAATGTCACTGAGACTATCGTTCGAAAATAATTTTCTAAGAACCTTCATATTTTAGAAACAAAGAATAATGTACAAAATCATAACATTACATCGATGCAGTGATTTGATATAGACATTCTTTGTATATTTATAGACGTTCTAGAATGTTCTATTTGCTTTTAACGCAGACCGCGCAGGAACGCTACTGCGCATGACAAAATCAATAAGTGAGGATTCGAGAGGGATGCAAGGGATGCAACGCACAAAACGCCATCTGTGTGTAGTTTTTTGGAACTAATTTTGACGTTAGACCCGGGTCATTGCCCTTAAATGTCAAAATGAATGAACGAAATCAAGTGACATAAGGGCGGAAGTGACTGATATTTGAATTATTTCCCGCGCTTGGTACTCACTCTGATCATAAGCGTCATACAAAAAGTAATTAAAATTTAAATATACGCTCTTCTTTTGTGTTAAAAATGTCTTCTTATCAAGCCTGTGTCTTATAGAGAACTATACCAATCAAATGATGACAGAATGCGCAGAATTATTACATACATTGTTATTGTTTTCTAAAATGACTCGGACTTTTCGGTGAAAATCTTTTTCATCAAAAAAGATAACGAAATATAAAACTACACAGTAATTAAACACTAGAATATGATCTTATAGACTAATGAGAGGATAAAATAAGGCGAGGACACAAAAATAAACAACCACTTACATCTATCTATGTTGAAAAGAATTTATTTCCAAAAAAATAACATCAAATATTTTGTTACATGATCAAGACTATGGCCGGGGTGGCAGCTATGACATTGATATCAGAATTATCTTATTATTCTATGATATTACATAGAAATCACACAATATTATATTCTATTTGATTACATTTTGGTATACTTATATCGGATGTCTAGAACCGGGTTATTCTTCTTACTATGTTTGGTTATCATTCTCATAAATGCGTTTATAATCATTATTATACGTATCTAGCTACAGTTGTGGTACCTTACATTATACAGATAGATTTATATATGCATGTATAACAAAATGTGGCCTCTCTTCTCGATACTCTCAAGGTCTATCCTCAATGGACTGGCCTCATTGCTTATCCTACGTGCGTTTACGCGATCCAAGCTCTTAACAACATTATTCAAAACATCTAACATGTTTTTAAAACACGTTCGTCCAAAAATACACATTTTTATAGGCACTACCAACCTAGTCTCACTTGTTGATCTAGAAAGAATAATGTACAGTTTAATAGCACGAAGGGAGTTCATTCTCCATTTAGGAGATAATTTCATTACAATTTTAATATTTTTGATTATATTTTAACTATGGTAATGCGTTTTATTTTAATCTATATTTATAATGTAAGCGGAAAAGCTGGCAGATATCTTAGCGTGCTCTACAGTATACATTTTTAATGGAAGTTAGTTAAATATACCTGAATTGTTTTCGAAGCATCTACTGTCGAATAAAGTCAACTAGGATGGTACCACCGCTAACCGTTCTTATAAAAATTACGTACAAATACTACCGATAAATTGTATATATCAAATTATACATAAATATTTCGTTAAAAATTTTCATACAATGTATGGTCGTAAGAAGTTGCGAACTCCTTTCTTAGTCGATTGTAATATTATATAAGAGCTTTGCTCTCGAGTAAAGCTTGTACTTACATAATATAAACGTTATATATTACTTCAGACCGTATGTCATTTCGTTAAATGCGAGTGGTTTTATGTCATAAGTGAACATAAAAGTATTGACATCATGTTTTATCCTGTTAATTAATACATCCTGTATAAAGAAGAAATAGTTATCTGTGTGTAAGTGATTATTGGAAAAGGTGTGTTAGCATTTTTTTATAATTACAATTACTCACAGAACGTAAACGGCCGTTCAAAGACTTCTAATGTTAAAAAAATCTTTATTGCACGTTCATTTAAGTTTCAAACTTGTAATAAATTAAAACATAACATTGAATATAAAATATTTCAAATGAATAAAATGTGAGACCAGCTCAATGATAAAATAATTAAAAATATAAAACATAATAATTATTATGCTAGAATTAACATGTTTTTAACGGGAACACTACGTATTTGGTATAAAAAGACTAGATTTAAAATTTTATTCGTAAATATGTTTATGTGTATAATTATATATATATCTTCCGAAATCGACCAGTTGCAACTTGGACCAGCTTTCCCTTCTCTTTGGTCTAGCGGTCCTGACACCCGCGTGTTAAATATATATATTTTTATAATATATCTAAATCTTCCCTTAAAACGCATTCAACGTACAGTCATTTCTGAGAATAACCCAAATATATAGGCTGTATAAATATATATACCTACTAACATCGGAATTATTTTAAAATACGTGGATGTACGAACACCTACTTAAGTTAATTAACTATCTATAAGTTATGGATATAGTATAATATAATGATTATTACACTTATTGGGTAGATCGTAATTATATATAAGTACTTTAAAACGGTTATAATAATAGTTCTTAACTAACAATTATGATATTATCTTTCTAAATTACATCGATTGGGCGTGTGCCATATTATTATGTCATATAATATAATATAATATCCTAAACATTATCGTAGGACCCGCGCCTTATGTAGGTAGGCCGAAAAAAATATGCGCTAATCGCTTTTACAGCTACGTATGTTAGCATAAAATCTTATTTCCGAAACATTTATAAGTAATGATAATTTAATTTTAGAGCTAAGTCGGTGACAGCCCTAAAAAAAGGCTATGGGGTTTTATAGTAATGAAAAATAATTAAATACTATAGTCAGAATTTTAATTAGATTCCAGATTTGACAATAGCTACTGTCATTTTGTGAAATAATGATACCACATATAATAGTGTAGTGATGAACACAAAAATCGATAAACAATCAGTGTGTGTGTTTTATAATAAATGTTACAGAAAGTGACAGGATAGCGATAGCGATGACGGCGACAATTTATAAAATAACTTATTACCATAATACATCTATCTGTTTTATTTGTCATGTTCCTTCATGATTACATTTTTTTGATTTATTTCACACACAATTATAAAAGAAAGTCTCAGATCGTTAATTAATTGTCAAAACTAAATTATCGGTTCAGAAATATTTAATTTCCTGATATACTTAGTTTACGAGAGTAAAATTATAAACGAGAAGAATCGATCCAGAAATATTGCATTTCCATATCGAATAATTTCGCAACGTCACTATTTAGTACTTGTCATAACGTTGCAACACTGAAATTGTCAAATCTGGAATCGAATTAAAATTCCGAGTATAAACTGAAAAATACAAGCTAGTAAAAATAAGTGTCATTAATTGTTTGTAATAGAAAATAGATAGAAATTTGACTATTTGCAACGTTTGTCAACTGAATTAGCTATCATCAACGTCAACTGCTATGATCAGTTAACCAAAAGACAGTCAACCAATCACAGGACAGGATATAATATTTTGATTTTGACGCAATGTCACCATCTTTCTAGAACCAGGTTATTAGCAAAAGGCGACGTAAGTGTAAGCTGCCGACCATAACGTATGATAATTATAACATTTAGAACTACTGACATTCAATCTTACGTGTAATACAACAAACTTTTTGAAACTACAACAATAAATTCGAGACACTAATTCATTTTTGATATCATATTATTCTTAGCTAATGTTTAGTTTTTAGATAGGGACATAAATATTTAAGTACTAACCCAAGAAGTATTAGAAACAGTGGATATTAAAATAGCAATAAATAAGAACATAGGTGTAACTTACAATAATGGATTAATAGATAATAGTTTAAGATCCAATGACACGGTTTTTGCAGTTATCTTCTTGATGGTAAATGACAAGAAAAGGCGGAAAAAGGAGGATCAGTCAATTTGTATTTTGGGTCGTTGTTAACAGCAAATTCTTGCCGTGGTCTTGTTAAGAGCAAAACCCTTGTCGTGAGATCTTAGACTTTACAAATTTAGTATACCTATAGTGCAATGGGTTTGATCGTGATGTCTAGCCACCTTTGTTGAAAGAAGAAGCAGTGCGCAGCTTCTTACGGATCCTTGGTGAGCTCCAGCGAGGGATCACTCGAGTATCACCGGGAGAAACGCCTTCGTCCACATCATCAGCTTCGGTCTTGATCTCCATTTTCTGAAAATTTTAGTCATGTATGATAAATAAGGATTAGACATATGTATTGCCTATGTATTGTTCTACGTAGAATAAGATGAATGTGTTATTTAATGACTTGAACTATTTTTAATGTTATTATATGAGATTAACAATCGAATTTTTTAAAATCCAGCTTAAGAGGTTTTTTTTATAGAAAAATTGAATTACAGGTATTTAACATGATCGCATCAGCAATTTCTTGCTCAACTCTAGAGTCGAGCAGTGGATTACTGACACCAGCTAACCTGGCAGAGGAGGTCTGCGCCTCCTCAGCTTCAATATCAACAGCCTATAACTGGCCACCGCTGGCCAAATACCTCTTTTCACACGGAAAAGGTTAGAGCATTCATTACCGCGTTTGTTCAATGCGGTTTGGGATTTCAAACCCATAATTAATAATTATACGTAATTTTTTTTATAGGGGGAAAATTATCGAATCACTGCTCCCGCCTGGATGAGGCGGGAGGGAGTGTCAGACTGTTACTGACTAAAAACCACCCCGTTCCTTCTCCTGCACGTCGAGCCGGAACCCCGGTTACCCGTTAGGTTCTCCGCAACATAATTATACGTTTCTTTAAGATGTTTTCTATCACTGTTTCTCAGTAATGTCTAAATAATATACAATCTATTTCAATCTTCAACTTAAAATATCGCCTAATGTATAATTGTTAAATGTTCAGTAAATCAGATATTCGAACCTCAGAATCACCGAACTGCCAGTAGGTCAAACTCAAACAAAAGGTTGCTTAATTGCTTGGATACAATATCAGAAGCAATAATAGAAAAAAACAGACCTGCACAATCAGACGCACAAGCGTATGCTGTTGCTCCAGTACCATTGATATGTCACGTAATTTACGTTTCTGCTTCTCCAGTTCAGCAGTTATGTAATCCTCACTGCTTTCCAGCACCAAGTCAAGGCCAGCTGTAAATTTAGTCCCAGCAAAAAGTTTAGAAGAAGAATATATCGCAGAACAATGTCACTTTCATGTTTCATCTTTCCAAGTTATATAATATAGGTACTACTATAATATAAACACAAAATCGCGAGAAAATGTAAAATTTTGAAAAAAAAATCAATATGCCAATGGTATAAAATGTCATTTCGCCAATTTAGAATATTATAATTTAGATGCATCTTCAGCACTTCTTTTCGCATATAACAAGCACATTCGCTAAAGAATTGAATTAAGATGCATAAATTAACATACCATCATCAGTGAAGGGGTTGCAGAACCATTTGCGAAGGATTAAGTCCAAGAAGCCGAGCTTGCATTTTTTGTTGTTCGGGTATTCAATCAGTTCATCTTTGTCCACTTTTTCCAGAAGTATGGTTGGCAGTTTGCGTTCCAGTTCAGTGTGAAGAACGACCTGGAAGTATACAATTGAAACTGTAAAAAATAGTCTAATAACGAGAAGCTTTTACATATTGACTGTATTGTAAATTACAGGATCACACCTACAACATTCATTCAATCAATTACGTCAAGTTTACTGCAGTTCTTTACTACTTTGTTATATGAATATTAACTACAATTTTAAGAAAGGATATATAGGCTTTTACATTAGAGTCTTAAATTCTTCTTAGTCTTAGTTCGCACTTTATGTTTTAATGACCTCTGAGGAACTTACCAGTTTGCACGAATTCATAACGTAAATACAATTAAACACATTACCTGCATGGCCAGTCGTTTCAACTGGGCATTGCGCCTCACACTCTCAATGTCTCCTACAGCCAAACCGATCAACAAGTTCATCAGCAAAATGGGCATCAGGACCATGAATATACCGAGTATGAAAAACGTAGGCATTGGGAACGGCAGCAGAATATCTGTCTCAGATTTGTAATAGGGCTGAACGTAAGTGCCAACGAAGTCCAATTCTCCAAGCATCATTGCAAAAGTCCTCATGAGAGACATGGGTATGCTATTAAACGACAAGTGGTGTCCCTGGAAAAAGTATAGGTCAGCAATTGGTTCCAATTATGAATACGCAGAGCAAAGAGTCGCGTCAGCGTGGAATTCGGTGACATTTTCTAGCATTTAACACCATTCAACTTTGATAGTGTAAAAGCAACTTCTACAATAGTGAGAGTATTTTCGCATTACGTGCGTTTTACGTAATTTTGAAGTAAAATCGCCAATCGTGAATAGTGCCAATTAGGGGTGGGATAATTTCATGACGTCATGAACGCTAGCGGGAGAAGTAATGGTGTTAATTTTAGTAACATTTTTGACAAACGATACACACTCAAAATTCACAATAACACATTTTGTTGAGGACGCCATCACAGTAAAAATCACATATACAAACATTTAGAGTCCGCACAAGTGTGTGCTATACAAACATGGATGAGTACGGCAGGTAATTGAAACCACAACCCTGTGCACAAAAGGTGGTTTGAATAGCGCTGTGCTATTTACCTCTCAAAGTGCAAGTTACCACAGATTCACTTACCTTTTCGTAGACTAGATATGTTGGGGTAATTTGCTAACACTATTATTTACTATTAATAGTGCAATAGCGTTAGCAGTGGTAACTTTTGTTCAGTATTGTTTATAATTTTAATCTTACCAACAAACTACAAAAATAGCAATATACATAAATACCGTCTCGTCAGGACCCACTTTAGACAGGAGAATATAAAACGCCATTCCGAATGCGATGATCAGGATTGAAAACACCATCAATACTTTTATCAGGGTCTGAAGTATTTCGAGGAACATGACAACGTAGATTCCAACTTGATCGAAACGTTGGAGTAGCAGAAGCAGCTCAAACCATGACAGAAATACGGTTATTGACGCAGCCGAGAACTGAAACACATTAAATATCATATTAATATTTTGTCTTTATTGAAACCCTATAAATTTATAAATTATCATTTGATTGTTCATTTATAATTAACATTTTTATTTTATGAATAATATGTTTTAAAGAGTCAGGTGTGGAAAAGCCATGTTACGGCACGAATGGACAGGCTCAACCGAAGTGATACTAAGGCCATCCAGAAAACAACACGAAACAACGCTTGCGATGTGTTTCGCCATGTAAGTGAGATTCCCGAAACCCCCTCAATTCCAAAATTCCTCAATACTCGAATTCCTTTGCAACTGACAGCAGTAGGAACGGAGTTTATCCCCTCAAGAAAAAGTATCGTGTGTAATTTTGGGACTAACCTGAATCTCGTCAAAATATTTGCATATTGTCGGGATAACCATTAGAGTCGAGCTAATGTACAGGAGCCAGGATACCAAGTTGGACGGGTCCACCAGATAATGCCATTTCTGCTGTTTAACGTTGTAAGCCTCTCGTATCAAACATATGGCGTTATACGCTAATATAGCCACCGTACTTGTATACATTGCCACTTTCGACTCAAAATCTGTAATCGTAAAGATTTTAATGAGAAAATATTCGGTTCACACTTATTGTCTGAGGTTTAATATAATTACTTGTTTATTTAGATAGTTTTCAATTTCTAGTCTACCATAATTATTATTACGAAATGGGAATAAGTATAGATATAATGATGAATAATAATAATGTTAGTTAAATACTCTAAGATAATATAGGATAGTGCATTTTTTTTGTTACTTCTACTTATACTGAACCCATTGTCTAACGATATGCGCGACGACAATATTGCTTTAGCACGAATGTGCCAGCTTCCCGGAGTGATACTATAACTTTACACAAATCCAGCGTAACAACAATAATAATTGCATTGTGTTTCATCGTTTTATCGATGACAGTTTTTCGTTTCCTCCACTATTGCGGGTGTACATACTATGATTGGCACCGATTCCTTACCATCTGGTGCCAATTTATTCCAAAAATATGAAGTCATACTTACCAGGATTAAAAACAATATTTTTCTCGGTTTTGTTCTCACGGTCAAAGTTCATGGGGTCAGATACGTTACATTTTGCAGCTTTCTTTGTCGTTCCATAATTTTCAGAGTTTCCCATCAGTAAATACGTGTACACGGTTACAAAGATCAAGAAGATGCAGTAGAACAGAAGGTTTGCCAGGTGAAAGTATTTGCCGTAGCTGTGCCATTTCATTTGCAGATATTTCTGACTCAATGGATGGGCTAACAACTCCACCCTTCCATGAGCAACCATAGCCTGAAATTGATAGAGCACAAGATTAGTTTGATAAATTGAGTACGATATACGATGAAGAATCGATGATTAAAGTTAAACAAAAAAAAAATTGTCAATGATACAATTATTTGTAGAACAGCATCAGTTATCAAAAACATCATCGAATGTTCATCACAATAATGTCACAAATTGTGCTTAATTTTTTGCGGTGAGTTTTAGATTTATTTACAAAAACATAAAATATTAAACAAAGCGAACTTAGTAACAAAAACCTCCACCCAAACAAATAGTGTAAGGTTAGTGAAAGCGTCGTGTGTTGCTGTGTATTGGACAAATGCCAGGAACTTGATGCTTTGTTCAGTGTGCTGTTTTAAAATACAGTTAAGAAAAGTGTCTTTGGAATTGTGTTTCTCTGGAAAAATCCAACGGTAAAGCATTATGGTGATTACATTCTATTAGGTTATTTATAAACACTACAAGTGTATTGGTTATATCAATTTTCAATTTAGTTTTTCAAGAGAACATTGTTAGCACCAAAAATTCCGGCATGTAAGTTGTGAGTATAATGCCCGAGTAGTGAAACGCCACTCAATTTGAAGTTGCGCTTAAATTTAGTTCTGTCACAACATTCTTTGTAAAATGACAGAGACAGCACGATATTCAAGTTCAATTTCAAATTGAGTAGCCTTTCAGACTTCGGGCGTAAGCTAGGCACCACTCCGCTAAGAGTTTTGACTCACGTTGATAACACACAACGGTTCTGGCCGATACTTGGGGTCATTAAGGGCCAGTCTTAATGCGTCGACTTCAAGCTTCGACCGTTGGTAGAATTTGAAAGAATACTTAATCTGCGATGCAGCAAATGAAAAAAAAGTTGTAAAATTGGTATGAATTACAAGTACAAACTCACATTTAGGGCAGGTAAGGGTATGTTCTGGGATTTTGGCACGTTCTCCGATTTCCGACGAACGTTATTGCCATCTTCCATTTTAAGTTGTGGACACAGGGCATCGAAGCTATACTTTATCTAAATAAGTTATTCAAATAGATTAGGTTGACGAAATATCAGAACACTAGAACATAATATCCAACACTATCTAGTTAAATATTAGACTCTTACCTAAGTAGTGGTCATAAATTATCTCCATTTAGAAGCATAGTAATTAATTTAACCTACTCACAGTTAAGAAAGTAATAAGCAAATGTTTCAAAAATCAAATAGTCTTTTCAAGTTTCGAAATTCACTTTTGGATATACCCTAGCTTTTACAATCCTGATCCACAAATTGGTTGTAATAAAATAAATCTTGCTAGGTCTAGTTTGGACCTAAGTTGAAAATTATTTTAAATGAATTTCTTTGAATATCATAATCACACTATGTATTGCGCTTTTAAAACATACATAAAAGCTTTTGGAGTCCTTCTTGCAGTTAGCCTTAGTGATGCATTTGTCCTGCACAGCTTCGAAGACTCGAGGCATATAAGCAATGAGGGCGAGAGTCACGCAAGGATGACGATCAGAACGCAACGCCATCACCTCCTTAGCCCTGTAATAGTAAGATATAATGCTTGGTATTTGCCTTTGTGAATGTGACTGGAGGGAGATTCGAAGGTTTTAGGGCCAGTTATAAGTGTTGGTGGCTAAGCCTGTCAGTTCAGACGCAGATCTTAGAGCTAATCTCACCCGACAGTCCCGGACTCTCGACACTACATATATTAAGAATGTAAGCTGTAAGTACAAGATTAAAATAGCCCTCAAATTCGATCATCTAGTACAGTCACGGTACCAGCGGTAAGTCCCCACTTTGAGGAGTGGCTTGAGAGACGCTACCACCTGATGCAGGTCCTCACCGGACATGGGAGCTTCGAGAGGTACCTGTGTCTGATAGGGCGGGAGGAAACGCCTGGGTGTCATCACTGCGAGGACCGTCCTGAGGACACGGTGAAACACCCGGTAGGGGCATGCCCTGAGTGGGCCGCGCACCGCACGGGCCGGCGGATGGCGAGCATGGGTAGCTGGGTAGCTCGCCATCCGACCAGAACCAGACCCGAGCGTACGACGCGTCGCGTTCCACACGCGCTTCAAAGAACCATCAGACTACCACGGATGCCCATAGGGCTGATGCCGATAAGGAGCCGCGGAGAACGTAAAAGGTTACCGAGACTTCGGCACCTTTAAAAAAAACAAAAATATTAGACATCGACGTCGTCATGAGAGAAAATAAAAACATATGAGGTTCACAAGGAGTATTTTGTGGAGGGGATTCATTAAATGACTCATCCAGCTCTAGTTGAGGCCTGAACCATACCATTTCAACTTCTGCTTCGAGCCGGGTCAGGTGGAAGATCTCTAGCCCCATCTTACCCGCGGTAAGACCATTCTTTGAGGTGATAAAGATTCCAAGAAGAGCGATGACAAAGAATCCAATGATGGTCAGCTCTGCTTATTAATATCGGCACCTGATGCACTACATGTTAATTTCCCACCACCACGAATTGTCGACATACAACTATCCGGTCTTTAAAGACAGGTAAGGCACCGTGTAAGGTAATCATGCGGAGAGTGCTACAGTCCGACAACAAGCGACTATTTGAACAAACACGATGTGCCATTATGTCTGTCCAAGTCCTGAGCATGAAGGCTACTCCGTGACCCAGTCTCATATCTCCGAAACTGTTTGCTGCTGCAGTGGAAGACGCCTTCAAACTTTTGGAATGGTAAGGATTTACTATAAACATCAACACGAGTAAATCACTCACGTGCGGTTTGCTGATGATATTGTGGTCAGAATAGATGCCCATTCGCTGAAAAAAGAATAAATTACAATAAACAGAAGCTTACCGGTGCTCATGGGTGACCATAGCGAGAGCTGCCTCTGGAAACTTGTAGTAGATAGCGTAGTCAATAGCGCTCATATCCAAGTTGTTATAACTCAGACGGCAGCCCATGGACAGGAGAAGAGCTATGGAGTTAGGCTTGTTTTCCATAGTAGCCAGATGCAATGGGGTGTTCTGAAAAACGTTTACACTAATTTAAGTTAAGCATCCAAAGCTTAGTCACTCTGCTATGCTGCAATTAAGAAAAATATGAGGAATTTTTTGGAGGGCTTAACGGCTGTGGGACTTGATTCCCGTGTCGGACAACCAATAATGGAGATCATAATGTTAAAACAGTCTTTTTTTGAAATGGTGAAAAGATATCACATTGATGATGACAGCGATTTCTGGTAAGAGTAAGTACAAACAGCTATAGTTACCTAATAGTTGAAAGCATACTTTATTAAATTAAAAAAATCTAAACCACGTACCCCATCCTTATCAGACTGGTCCAGCAGATGGGAATGTACGGAATGTAGCAGTTCAATCGTCTGAGTGTATCCAGACATAGCGGCCAGGTGCAATGGATTGCGTCCATTGTGGTCTCGGTGCAGCAATGCACCACGGTTTAGCAGTAAATGCACGACTCTCGTGTGGCCTTCCCGAGAGGCGATGTGGAGCGGTGTCAGGCCCTCGCCATCACTCTCGTTGATGATGAACGTTCCTTTGTCAGAGTCAAGTAGCTGGCAAGCGGTGTGGTAGCGCCCATATCTGTAAACGCGAAAGGTTGTGTCACTTCGATGTTTTATTTTTTATTGTTAGGAAACCAGCGTTTGGGCACCATTTCATCCAAAGGAAAGCAATGGTACGGCGTATAAGGATTACGCCAGCCTGTAATCAGCCTATTAACTCGGGCGTTGAAGAAATTCAGGTATACCTACGCACCACAAAACACAAGCTCTGGCAGAGAATTTATTTGTTGGCGGTTTTATGAATAAACTTGAAGCATATGCCTCGAAAAGTGACGCTTCGTGAATAACCTGGTGTCATTAAAATAGTAATGTCTATGAGATTCAAGTTGTGTAATTTTCTAGAAGATTTACTGAAGTGTATCCGATTAAAGACTTATTCTTAAGATTTATTCTCCGGCTTTAGTTGCTACTTAGCAGAGCCGTACCGAAGATAAATCCAAACTCAGTAAGGATTCAAAATTGTTCCGGTGTCAAGCACCACCCACATTCCGCAATAACAATAATTGTGCGGTCCTAGTCAAATCCAAAAAAAGTTTTATTGAAAGTACTAACCTTTGATGAAGGAACCCTGATATTATTATTAAATTGATTACACGTAGGACGACCCAATTCCTCAGGAAGTCTATTATCTATTTACATAGAACAGCAGAAACACCCAAAAAACTTACCGACCAGGTTATCATATCAGACCCAGTCCAAAGCCTTAAAGGTGCTGCCTATGCCTCCCGTGCTTGGTTGGCTCCAAATAAGGGTGTGCTCCCAGTGGGTTTTTAGAACAAAAACCGAACTGTCGATAGGTTTATTAGTTATATACTAGTTATGTTTTTTTTTATATTTGATGGGCCAACGTTTGACCACTATCTTGCCTGGTGGTAAGCGATGATGCGGTCTACGATGGAGCACGTTGTCCCATAAGCAACCTATTCACTCGGGCCTTAAAGACTCCTAGGTAATAATACCCATCAGGAAACTCTGGCAAAGAATTCCACTCTCTAGCAGTACGCACAAGGAAGCTTGATACGAAGCGCTTCATACGTGTGAGTGCGTATACCATGAATCGGTGATGCTTCGCCGATTGTCTTGTGGTACGATGATGGATAGGACTAGGGGGGAATCAAGTTTAGTCATTCCCCTGCACACCCACCGAAATGTATGATTATTATCCAGTAGAAAACCGAAAGGCTTGCAACCTTACGCCTGTGTTCGAGGCTTTGAAGCGGGACCTCCACAAGCACATCATCGTTGATCAGCCTCTTGGCACGCTTCTTAATGTGCTCTAACGCGTCTAGCTGATATTTAGCCAAGTTGTCACCGTTTAGCGCACTTTCACAGGGAGTATGGAACCGAGATAGAACTGTAATTTTAGGGTTGGCTTGATTGCCTTTTTAGTCAAGCTGCTTTTTTGTGCGCCGGCTTATAGAAGCTGACATCGCATGGTTCATGCACATTGTACTATTGAAGCTCTACCAAGTTCAGTAATAGCCATGTAAGAACAGTGGGGGTCCTCGAATTTTAGCACTACTCTTTGACAGAATTCTATCAGGATCGCTGACCTTGTTTATATTTGGGTTGCACGTTTCGTAGTCTCTCAAACCTGAAGAGGTAACGGAAACGTATGTTTCCGTTACCTCTTCTTCCGTGCTGGAGGTATCTCCAGCATCCTGACGTGAAGATTCCGCAAAGAGGTTAGATGTCTCTTTCGCAATAAATGTGTTTCTCTTTCTATCTCTTTGACTGAATGTTGGTATTGTTGGTATTGCATTGTTATCACATAATTGATTAACGAAACGATATAGATTGATTAACGAAACGATAACCAAGAATTGTATTGTGAACCTGATTGAAAAAGAGTAGTCTATGAAGTTTCTTGGTTGTTCTGCTCCAAAGGAATCTACACTTGCTTCACTAGAGGATTGACCAACAGATTGACATTTTTAATATTATAATATTTGTTTGACTTTCGAAAGAGCCTATCTGATGTATTTGAAATAAATGGAATTTACTTTTTAACCAATGTCTCGTCAAATCTCAACGTGGTGGTAGAGAGGTCACAGTTCGATTGAACAGTTAAAGGTTAAAGAAGAAAACAGGGTTCGCATTTCGTAGGAATTCGTTCAAATTACGAAAAATAAGTACAGATTCTATCTAATCACGTACCTAGCAGCAAAGTGCAAGGGACTCTCATTGTTGTTGTTCTTCAAGTTGATACAAGCACCAAGACGAATGAGGTTCTCCAGGGACCTGATGTGACCTTCGCGGCTGGCGTAGTGAAGTGGTGAGCAGCCAGCGCTGTCCTTTTCATTCAGAAGCTGTGCGAGACTCTTCTCACAGCGATTCTGTAACGTGGACTGTTTAGTGGAACATGGTGTCATGAAATTCGGTTAGTAATTACACAGGATGTAGAAAATTATGCAAAAAAATACCAGTATAAACAACAAGAAAAATGTTTTAGAAACACAATTGAAAGCAGAATCATTAAAATTAAGAATGCTATGTCATGTACAAATTGTGCAATAGTTAAACTTTTTTTTTAATACTATTCAAAAGCATGCAAACAGTTTTTTAATAAAATGCTAATAGGTGTTATTATTTTACAATTAGAACAAATTGAATAAAAAATTTAATACACGAGTGCACAAAATGAATTACCGTTGAAAGCTAAAATACAAAATCACTTTAAATAACAATGAATTCTGAGCAACTGATGGATAAGTATAAGTACGTAAGAAGAGCTGAATTGTACAAAAGTAAATAGCAGATATATTGAAGTGAATAAAAATGATGCACTCATCAATTTGAAAAAAAATCAAGTAACTGTAGATATTTAATTGGAATTGCTTAAAATTGGATTTTATGTCGCTAAAATGTGAATATCGAAAATGACCATGCATAAACTCAATGTATCTACTTTAAACTTAATAGTTCTAATAAAACGATACCTGGATCAAAATAAAGAAAAAAAAATTTTTTAATCAACACATAAAAACTGTGACCACAAATATAAATGTGATTATTACGAAGATATTATGTAAGTTACTTGAAGAACTTTAATAAGTTGTCCAGTTCGGTCAATCGCTCTAACTTTGTGAAAGGTAAGGATACTGCGAAGGACTGGTTATGTAAGGTTAAGTCATCTTATCCCCAATGGATTAACCCAATCAAGCGGGTTCATCGTTACTTGATAACATAGTAATACAGAAAGGTAAGTTTAACTGCGTGACGGACATTTTTTCAAACGTTAGGAGAGTATCTGAAGATTGAGGAAAATTGTCGAGACTAATCTAACGTATGTACCTATTTGAAGTAAAAGAATATCATCTACTAAAATCTGATTATTACCGAAAAATAACTATCTTAGTGTAGAAAACTGATATTCCGTTTTATGTTTGTGTGACTTAGAGTCAACCTGTGGACAGAGTTGATTAACAAAGAAGAATCGATTAAAAATTCAAAATCGATTTTCACACGGGCATAAAGTTGTAAAAGTGGTATGAGAACTGACCTTGCACGTAGCTGCGAACTCTTCGAGTCTGCCTCCGTTCATCACGACAAGATGAAGCACGTTCCTGGAGTTTATATCCTTGAGTTCGATGTCGGCACCCAGACGAATCTGAAAAATGTATTGAATTCTAAAGAAAGAGGTCTATAAAATGAGGTAACGACTTTATTTTTTATGTTGTACTTTTTTCTCGCTTGATGAACTTTTCTGCGATCTTGATACTCTAGTCTAAACTAGTCGTTAATTTTTAGTGTTAGAGCACTTGAGGATAATAAACATTAAAAATGGTAATAAAATGAAATAATGAAATCTTGTAAATGATTCGACATCTGCAATATCCGCGACTCAACTACTCATCTACAGTTAGATTTTTGTTTTTTTATCCCAAGATGAAGTGTCTTCACGGAACTCGTCACCTAGGGAGGAGGAAGGGGCCACTCTCACTTAATAAGGGCTAAATTTGACCGGGACGCCATGGCAGAGCAACCATTCACCGCCACCACAAATTATATGCAACTCTATACAGAGTTAGCCACCTGGTGTCAACTTGCTTGTGCGACCTATCTCGTGGCGCGACACTGAATGTTGTTAGTCGCTCACCCATGCTGGTCGCGCCACCACTAATTACTATGGCCGTCACAGAGGCGTGACTGGTTACACCGCCATGGAAGATAAAGATGTCTCATGGTAAGTACGACCAAGGTACTACGAGAGAATGTACTTATTTGTCTTATCTTAATACCTACAAATTAATCAGTAGTCCAAATTATTAACGGCCGGTTACATTGCTGTGATCTTGATATAACATTTCTATTTATAATTAAATACCCAAAGACAGTGTTTGCACGCTTTATTTCCCAATTAATTAAGAATACGTGTTTGATACTCCCACTCACAGCTCGTCCGTTGTATAACAGGACCACAGTCCTAACATGTAACCAAAGGTAAAAACATAAGCGTGGGAGTGTTGAAATGACAATACTATTATTGAATTATTTCATAGAATTGTAAAGATTTATATCACATTAACATGGTTTTGTGTTACCAGCTGCTTGGCAACAGATCTTTTTTTTTAATAAATTATGATAGGTGAAAATATTACTCTAACTTGAGATAGCTAAATATAGTGAAAGTATCTTCCAAATTAACTGTTAGTATTTTCTGATACAAAGAAGTACAAGTCGGCCTAGTGTTAGTGTAACATTTTTAGAAAGATTGTGTTAAAATAAGAAATTATAATACGAAATTCTTCGTTAAAACATCTAAACCAACATCATTTTATGGGTAAGAAAAACCATAAACATCTGCAACACTCACTTTTGGCATGTTTGGAAACAAAATGGATGCGAAACGTGCTTACCATTCGTTTCCGTGGATCTAATAACAAATGACGAACGTCACGATGTGTGGAGCATATGTAACCGAATGCAACAATCATTTGTTAGAATTGAGAAGTGTCTTCGAGGCCACATGAAGGATTCTACATATTTGTCGACTGTTGAGTAGCTACATTTAGAGCCGATTTTTCATTCAAAAGATAATTTCTATGTATAGAATAAAATTGACATTTGACAGTTTTTAGTATGGAAGAATTGTCAAGGACTCAAAGTTTTTCCTGTGTTAAAATTTATTTGGCGTTGGAAAAGCGGTCCTTATTCTACAGACACAGTGAGCGGGTGTTATAATAACATGTAAATATATGTGTCATTGGCCGTTTCGTAGATTGTAAAATAAATTTGTCACTCAAATGTATGCTCTTCCTGAGGGGTCTGTTAGATTCGATTATAGAACTACCCTTTAAACTTATTAAACCTGAATATTTGATATTGCTATCTCCAACCCGAAATCCTAGAATGTAGTGGAAGCTCACTGTCTAGTACCATAAGAGCTGTTGATGTTATGTATTATCATTGCCATACTTCAATAGTCTATTCCACTTTGAAGTTTCAATTCAAAACATCAAATCAGACCTATAAAATATTTGGAATCGAAGAGTATGAAGCCGGAGAGTATAGATCAGTTCATAAACAGTTTATAAAAACTTTATGTTATCATTGAAAGTTCTGTTGGAATGTAAATCAGGGGTAATAATAATAATAATAATAAACACTTTATTGTACACCACTTACAAAAGACACGAACAAGAAAATAGTAGGTAGGTAAAAAAAAATAGTTTTGGCATGTTGCACAATGGGCGGCCTTATCGCTTACAGCAATCTCTTCCAGGCAACCTTAGGATGGATAAATAACCGTGAGAGCAGATACCATGTGGGTAGTTCATAGTGTTGAATTAAATACAATGGATATGACAGAACAGTTTAGATACATACATACAATATGTACACACATACATACATGCCTACATACTCATATATACATATATATATACATACACATACATACACAAAATCAGATACATACATACATACATACGGATATGCGGTAGCAGTTACTCTATTGAATCTGTGTTAGATAATGATCTTTTACTTGTCTTTTAAACGAATCCAAAGATTGCGCCCGTCTTATTGATAATGGAAGTGCGTTCCACAGTCGAATGGCTCCTACAACAAAGGATTTGTCATAAAAGGCAGTCGTATGTGTTGGCATCTCCAATCTCAAATTCGCAGTAGACCTCAAGTGTCTTGAATGTGCGTCATGAAGGAACTTAAAACGTTCTTTGAGATAAGAGGGCGTAGCAGGATTGTACAGAATACTGTAAAGAAGTGACAGGATATGCGTATTCCGGCGAAGACGGATAGGAAGCCACTTGAGCTTGTTACGGAATTCCGAGACATGGTCATATTTGCGCAAGCCAAATATGAATCTTATACAGAAATTTTGGAGACGCTCAAGTTTGTCCAGTTGTGCCTCTGTTAGATCAAGGTAGCAGGCATCAGCGTAGTCCAAGATGGGAAGAAGGAGAGATTGAGCAAGCGCAGTTTTAGTGGCGATTGGTAAAAAATTGCGAAGTCTTCTTAAGGACGCCGCCGATGCAAAGATTTTGCGACTCAGTTCTTGAATCTGTGGAGCCCAGGACAAAGTGCTGTCAAAGAGAATACCCAGATTTTTGACAAATTTACTGTACGGGATTGTAGTTCCATCAAACGTGACCGGTGGAATATGCGTCCAGTTAATTCTAGCTATCTGTCTGGGGCTGCCGATAACAATGAGCTGAGTCTTTGCTGGATTCACTTTTAACCCGTAAGTCGAGCTCCAGTTGGATATTGAAGTCAGGTCGGCATTTATCATTTTGACTGCTTCCAAGAGTTCTTCGAGCGGTGCCTGCGCGTAAATCTGCAAATCATCTGCATAAAGGTGGTAGGAAGATAGAAGTTGGTCAGAGATGGAATTAATAAAAGTTGCGAAAAGAAGAGGAGATAAGACGCCACCCTGCGGCACGCCAGCAGCAGTACTACGCCAAGTCGAGAAATTTGTGTCCACTCGGACACGCTGTCGACGGCCACACAGGTAACTCTGAAGCCAATCGTTTACCGCTGGAGATATGTTAAGGGAGCGCAGAATACCGAGAAGGACATCGAAATCGACAGTGTTGAATGCGTTACTGAAATCAAGTAGGGAGAGCACTGTCAGATTTCCATTCTCCATGCCGAGTCTTATGTCATCAGCAATATGTACAAGTGCTGTTGTAGTGCTATGGCCTCGACGAAAACCGGATTGGAATGGATTTAGGAGTTGATGACGGAGAAGGTAGGAGTTTAACTGGTTATGTACAAGACGTTCTAGGACCTTTGAGAGGAATGGTAGGATGGAGATAGGACGGTACTCTGAGTAGCATTTGGGATTAGGTTTTTTGGGCAGTGGCGTAATCTGTGCATCTTTCCACTGTGATGGAAAAACTGCGGAGGAAATGGAATAATTTAGGATGTGGGTGATGACCGGGAGAATCTCGTCGAGTATAGGTAGCACCATTTTACGGCTAATGTTATCCGCACCTACAGCATTAGATGTAATTGATTCTACACTCTTCCTAACATCACAGACGGTAAAACGACTAAATACGAAAGGAGAGTTTTCAGGGGTTGGTAAAGAAGAAAGATGTTTTAGTGTGTTCCCTTTAACAGTAGAGTTAAAGGAAGAAGAACATGAGAAATGCTGGTTTAGCGACTCAATATTTAAATTATTTGGAAAAGGTTCGTCATGATTTTTACCAACTCCCATTGACTTCAGAAATTTCCAAATCTTCGCTGGGTCCTCATCACAGGGGTAGTGAGATTTCAGGTAACAATATTCACATAGTAACAGTTGATCGTGATATTATTATAGAGACTGTAGTATTGAACCACCCACATGAGTACAATGTAAAAAGGATAAAGAGCCTTAGCGCCTATTTTTAGACACGAACTCTTTCAATATTATCAAGAATTGTCAATGCCTACTATAAAATTTTTGCTTGAGAATTATAGTAACTTACCAGGGTTTGCACAGTCCTCCATCCGGCCCTGGAAGCAGCTAACAGCAGCGGTGATCTGCGCTCCTTATCCAGAGGGTTGATGTCAGAACCCTCACTAATTAAATAGTTCACGATGTCAGGATGGTCGAACATCGCAGCGCAATGCACCGGAGTCATCTTCTGTACATCGCAGGATGTCAGACAAGCAAGCTTCTCCGTCGGCTGCATGGTAAACATGAGCTTCACTATCTCAAGGGCACCCTGGAAAATTTGTATCAAAACTTGTAGCAAAGTCCATGCAACAAAAATTAGGTCAATATTAGTACAATTGGTTCATTACCTGAGCACAAGCCAGATGGACTGGTGTAGACAGATCATACTGCTGCGTAGATATCTTTGCTCCGGATTTCAGGCAAAGTTCGACGGCTTTGATGTCTCCTCCATGCACGGCGGAGTGCAGGGGCACATTGCCCTCATTATCGTACAAGGATATCATTGATTCTCTGGTGCAACCCTTAGACTCTCCCCACTGGAGGAATACTTCCATAGTCCGCGAGGACGCGTTCTTAGCAGCCTCGTGGATGGGATAGTACCCGTTGTTACAAGCTCTCTTGCATTCAGCGCCTAAGTCTGTTATCTGTGTTGATTTAAACTAGCATAAATATAAAAATGTTTTGGTAACGCTGTAGGGCTATTAAACTAATTATGTAAGAGAAATTATAAACTCAATTCTGAAATAATTTCCTCATGTTTTAGGAAAGTTACGGAAGTTCTATACAAAGCCTCTGTTATTTGACAAAGTTATGGAAAAACTTTGTTATTTAATTTCATATTATCGGTTAAAGAGTAGTGTCTAATACGTTACCAGTATCTTGGCACAGATGTCATGGTCGTGTATCGCAGCAAAGTGAAGCGCCGTACGACCGTGCTCGCCACCAAGCTCTACGTTGAATTGGTCTTTATACTTCGCGAAGGTTTGAAGGACTGAAACCTGAGAGAATAACAATTGGTTTCAGTAACTATCTTAAAATCCAGAAGCCAAATATTATGATACATTATATAGAACTCAAACGTAATTGAAATGTCCACTAGAAGTTCATATTAAGTAGGTGCATCGCTGCCATTCCTAGAAGTCAATCTTAATGTTATCTTCAGAAGAAAACTGTTGAAGTCGTATAGTGTTCGAAGAAATGCACACTGAAGCAAGTTTCTTGATAAAATGCAGTAGAAAACAGATTGAGTTCATGTGCTGGGGTGCCATGATCCATAAAAGAATTTACTTTAAACCTTCACATAATCCTGCTGATAGTGAGCTCTGCTTTTATCTTACTAAATATGAAAATAAGTTTGTAATAAAAACTTACCCTATTCAACTCAGTAGCTAGATGAAGAGCACCTTGACTCTTGTCGTTCAAAATGCTGGTATCGACGCGACTGTAAACCAAAGGTTATTATGGTTAAACTTGGTCATAAAAGAAGGAAAAGTTTATCGTATGTAGTCGTAGTAAAAGTATAATTCAAAGTCATGTTCAGTAAGTCAATGTCAAGACTCTTTCGAAAATTAAATAACTTATATTTACTTTTATTCTCAAACTACTCATAGACATAATAATATATAGTATGCAGTTTAAATGAAGGAAATAAAAAACTTTATAGTGGACCAATGCACCATCTCTTAATTTTGATGTATTCCACTCTAAATACGATATTCACCTTTTAGCAAAACCAAAAATCTCCATACAGTTAAAGACTGAGTATAAACCGTAACCATATCAAACGCATTTGAAAATTTACCGCATTTATTATTTCAAAATCAGTTTAAACATTAAATCATTTCATATTGTCAAGTACTCAGCACCAACAAATCTTTCAGACAACCACCCACATTTAAAACACGTATACGTGTTTTTAGAAAAAAAAAGAATAAAAAATAAAAGACAAACAGTCAATTTACTTTTACAGATACCAAAAAGGATGTAAAAAACCTATGACGTCACGGTAGTTCTAGATATGTAGACTAAAATTTTGAGAGGACAGCACTAACATGAAAGCAGGTTAACTATGTCATGTCATTTCATGGTCAGGACGCGACCACAACACACTGGTGACCAGAATTTAACAGGGTAATTTGAAAAATCAGAAATTGACCTCTTAGTTTCAGTGACCTAACTGTCTTCCCCTAAATGGCGGGGGCTAAGTGGAAGAACGTGAAAGAGGATATTTGCAATGTTTAAATTAGTCGTTGAGAAAATTGTATTTATTTAACAATTTTGATCCGAGAAACGATCAAAACTATCTCTAGATTATTGTAATCCTTGTCATACTATAGAACAATTATAATACAGGGTTTCGTGCAGAAAGAATCAACGAGTCAAATCAGTTAAATGTGGTTTGTTTGTAACAACAAAGCAATTATTTTTGATCAACATACCATGACATATAAAGGTAAAGCAAATAGCAATTTCTCGCTACTAATTACAAAAAGGCAGTCCCAAGGCATTTGTGAAAAAGCTCACCTAACAAAGATTTATCAGTCTTTTAACCGCAAAATGATTTATTATGTGCTTACTACAATTTGACCTTTAGGATAGCTACTTATTTTTATATTAAATACAGGTGCGACGTTTGAGAACGGGTACAACTATAATGGTTTATGTTTATACTAAAGTTTTAGTAGAAAACCATAGAATACGCTAGTATAGCTAATGTAATTACTAGATCCACTGACAAGTACCTCGTCATCAGTTCATTCATAGTCTAATAAACGGCGTAGAGTATAATAATTATGTATGTTCCACATATACACCTTGCCAGTATATTTAATTCTTCATAAATCAAATAAAAAACTTAAATGTAACTTACTGTTGAAGCAAGAACTCGATAGCATCCAACGCAATGTTTTCAACAGCGATATGCAGAGGGGTGTTACCAAAGTTGTCCTTAGCGTTCAAATCTGAAACAAACCATTGTTAAAGTTGCAAAACCCATTCTTTGTCGATATTAATTTTGTTTCGAAGTAATGTGAGTTTTTGATTTTACGCTTAGGAGGTGTCTCTGGTGAGGCGTGAAGTCCTATTGGTCCAATAAGCATAATTCTGCCGTAAGATTGACTGAATTGATATTAACTAATACGCTGAGCATGATGTTTTTTGGAAGTGTGAAAGAGCTACGCTTTGGCACGAATGGGTCGGCTCAGCCGGAGTGATACCACGGCTTCACTGAAAACCGACGTTAAACAACACTTGTGTTGTGTTTCGACCCAATTACCCTTTCCCAACCACCCAAATTCCCGAATTCCGTACAATCTTCAAATTCCTTATCGTGTTTCGGGTGTTCAATAACAGCGCCGATTGCTTACCATCAGGTGATCCGTCTGCTCATTTACTGGCTTAACGTATAAAAAATAATTATGCTATTGGTCAATTATAATACACCAACATTACCATTGGCCAGACCTTCCTCATTTTAATCTTTCAAAATGAGTTCCTTAACCTCTGGTCTATTCAGCACTTTCCTAATCTGATTATTAATACCAAAAATTAAGGTCTTAAATTACACCAAAACTTACAGATTCTGCATATAAATGACGACATTACCAATTAAAATGATTTATCGGTACTATGAAAGGCAAAGGCTCACAGTATTTCAAGCTACTAACTTATTTGAATAAGTAATGAGGACTTTCTATTGTACTCGATTTTGCCATTTGTATGTAAAAGTGGGATAAATTTTAGTTTTGTTCGTTATTTATACAACAGTTAAAAAGTTAGAACTGAATTTTGACAAGAGTTCGGGTAAAAAAGAAACTAAAGAAAAACATAATAATAATTTAAATATTAAATGGCTCAAAAGTTCACACGTTCGCTTAGCATTACACTTCCAGGCATCTTTGGAAACTGGGTCGTTACCACAATTTCTAACAACAGGAGTTACCCACCTGCTCCATAAATCAAGTAGTCCCGCTGAGCCCAAAAATTATAGACCAATTACATGTTTACCAACGGTCTATAAACTTCTTACATCCATTTTGAGGACAAAAATAACAAAACATATTGAAAAAAATTCCATCATGTCTGTATCTCAAAATGGATGTAGGGAGGGGTCTCGTGGAACTAAGGAGCTACTCCTCATTGATATGGTTGTTAGCCAAAAGGTTTGTCGGTCCCGAAAAGATTTGTCTACATGCTGGATAGACTACAAAAAAGCATATGATTCTGTGCCACATACATGGCTCCTAAAGGTGCTGGAGTTGTATAAAATAGATGCAACTTTACGCGCCTTCTTGGAGTCACGTATGAGGCAGTGGAGCACTCTGCTTTGCTATCCGGGATGTAGATAAATCCAAGGGAATGAAGAACCTGTAAGGATAGTACGAGGAATATTCCAGGGTGACAGCCTGAGCCCACTATGGTTCTGCTTGGTCTTGAATCCTCTAAGTACTCTACTGGAGGATTCGGGGTTAGGCTATCCTTTGCGGAGAAGGGGTCTAGTTATATCCCACTTACTTTACATGGATGACCTCAAGTTGTTTGCGACAAACAAGAAACAACTGATGGAACTACTGAATATAACTGAAAAAATTAGGAGTTCCATCAGAATGGAGTTTGGAGTATACAAGTGTGCGGTCATGCATGTAAAGCGAGGAGGGATTGTAGAATCTGAGGGTTTAGAACTCTCAGATTTCACAAATCTGAGATCACTCTCCGCAAACGATACATACAAGTACCTGGGTATGTCAGAAGGATTAGGCATTAATGGACCGGACATGAAGCAATCGTTACAGGAGCGCTTCTTTGGCCGCCTGAATAGGGTACTGAAAAGTTCCTTATCAGGCGGAAATAAAGTGCGAGCCTTTAATGGTTGGGTCATGTCAGTCCTAATGTATTCTTTTGGTATACTCAAGTTGACTCAGACTGAACTTGACACCCTGGATAGGCGAGTCCGGACCCTGCTGACTGCAAATCGCATGCATCACCCTCGGGAATTCTTCTGTCTCTGGAGCCCTAATCACCGGTAGCTTGGACCATGCTCCCGCTACTGGTCGGCTCCTATTTTTTATATTTTAAAATATTTTTTTTTTCTTTTATAAGTAGTGTTTAAAAATGTAATTTATAGAGGATTTTAAATAAATATATGTAAATAATAATTTTATCTAATAAAATACTGTTATAACGTGTTCAACAACTGATGCTATCAAATTTTGAAATAGGAAAGACATAATTGGTCCTACCGTAGTGGTTACGAAAGACGCGTTACCTTTGTAAGTACAATGTGACTTTTAGACTGTCAATTTTTATTCTGAGTTTTAGGCGAATCCCTTCAATCATCGCTTAGTTTTCCAAACATTTCACAGTGGTACTTGAAACATTACATAATAATATGATTACTGCACAAGAACTTATGGTTTCACTTTCCAAAATCTGTAAACATATTCTTCCAATAAAACTAGCTGTTCTTCTTCTAAAAAGAAAATTGGTAACTTTTAAATCTGGTCTTCTATTAGTTAAATTCTCTGACACCAAAATAAACCGGCTGGATTGACACAGATCCCTCGGTCGGTCAGATAATTGAGTTTCTTTGCCACATAACCCTGTGTCGGCCTTTTTACGAAACTGGCAACCTAATACAGGACGTAACGAGATAAAAAGACAATACAACCTTGATCTAGTTCGCCTGTTATAACCCAATGTCAAAGTGCAATACTTCAAGTCTTTGTGCTCTATAGTGCACATTATCGATATTGCAAAGTACACAGTTATTGCAGTGGCAGATGAATAGTGCTATAAGCTTCATTTCCTCTAGTTAAATGTTTGCCTAATTGTATTTGTCTTTTATCGTGACTTTAGACTTAATTTATTCTCCGCCGTGGGAAATGGAAACGAAAGTACTTGTACGTGTTTTCGTTTTGCGCGCTCTGCGCGCTAACGCGCTTTGCCGGGACGAAACTCCGCTGCCACGCTAGATTAGTGGGTGGCGGAATGAGCCTCGGGTGCAATCTCACGGTAGAATGGCGGCAATGACTGTCACAATCCCTTGATTCGAGCGAGCCCAGCCCTTGCTGGGCTCGCTGTCATTACAGAGGTAAGTCCCCTCTTTGAGGAGTAGCTTAAGAGACACTACGGCGTCCTCGCCTACCGCCTGATGCCGGTGCTTACTGCACACGGGAGTTTCAGTAAGTTCCTGTTTTGGATTTGGCTAGAGTAAATGCCTGGGTATGATCACTGCGTGGACCGTCCGGAGGACACGGTACGTGCGTACGCAACATACGGTGGCGGTGTGCCCTGCGTGGGATGACCACCGCCGTGTTCTCAGCGATGTAGCCGGTGATGGCGACATCTCGCGAATCGTTCTGGTGCATGCCATGGTGTGGAGCGAGGGGGATTGGGATGCCGTCTCCTCCTTTTACGAAGCGAAGTTATGCTTACCAAGGAGGAGGCGGGGCGCGTGAGGGAACGAAGTTCCTCACATCCAAGCCGTCGCGGGAGACACTTCGGGAGTCGGAGATCGCGCGACGATCTCCGGACATCGTAATAGGGTCTACGGACGGCGAGCAAAAAGAGCCTTCAGACCACCACAGATAGGGCCCGATACGGAGCTGCGGAAGGCCTAACGGGTTGCCGGGGCTCCGGTTCGAAGAGTAGGAATAGGAAAGGGGTGATTTTTAGTCAGTCTGACACTCCCTCTCGCCTAACCCAAGGCGGGAGAAGTCATTGTTTGATATTTCCCCCTAAAATAAGGATTAATTTATTCTGACTACTGCAGTACTTCATCGAGGAAAGTGAAAACTGTCGTTTTTTCTTCCCTTATAAAATCTTTTAATTTATTTCATTGCAACAACCAAGACAGTTATTCATGCCCCTGAGACGCGCCGACTTCAGTGTTCCGGTGTTATTATGGTTGAATCTACTGTGTGATTATGATTCTGGCCTACAGGAGTTGCAAGCGTTTTGGGAGGGTGTGGCGGGATTGTCCCATTTCAAAAGCATCATTGTGATTTGAAAGTGATATCAATCTTTTTCAACGTTAAGGTGATAATACAAAATTATGTAATTCATCTCATGAATTGATACTAGTGCACTAATATGCTGCTTAACGTGTGAGATACGACCAAGAAATGATCGAAATTGTTTCTCCCATTGAAAAATACTCTTAATTTCTTTTGGCGTGTAGGTTTATCTTTTTTCAAACACGAGACAAAACCTACGTAAGGCTAAACCTACGTAACAAAATGATCAGAAAAGACAAAACATATATATCTGTTATTCTAGAGTTTCGTCTATTCTCTGTTATTGTGCAACAAAGTGTAAACAAATAAATGTTGATGTGGGCATTTTGATGAACAGCGTCCGTAATTTCAGAGACCACGTTATTACTAAGTATTATGATATCCAAAATCCATATTATTATATTTTGTGGGATGGATTTTATAATTGGACAAGGCCGTTTTAATTAACTTGCTGTGTAGTGCAATGTGGCAGTCGAGATTCGGAAGTATTTTTTGGATTATGTTATAGAAAACTACCTTTAGAAAATTACAAGGGTGGCAAGGAACACAGATGTTCCATGACCATGACCACTCTGTCAAAACCAGTGTTTTTTTTATATATTTAAACCTCTATCAATCCAAAATCAGTGAAAAGTGAAAAAATAAGTAAGTGAAGAGAGTACATATGTATGTATTTTATGGAGGTTTTGGTCTACAAATAGGAATCGAACCATTGATTTTGGATTGGATTAAGATATGCAGTTCCGGAGGTTTAAGACTTTCCGGCTTCTCATTCACGAGGGCACAGATCCGAAACCAACCAACGGCAAATACCAATGTGACTGTTTCCGAGTTATAATTAAATACTTGTAACATTATTTAGAGACCTCTAACAAGCGGTAAAGGAAGGAACTACATTGTGAGGAAACTTGAGCTTATAGTTTTTTTTATGTTTGAAATCGCCAACC